GCCCGCAGCCAGGCCCCGGGGCCTGCCTCGAGGCCTCCTGAGGGGCTTGTCCACTGGACAGCCTGGCTAGAGGCTTCCAGACACACGGGTAGCTCCAGCACAGACCTCTCTGATCTTTGCAAAGTGCGCCTTGATTCCCAGTGCCACCAGTTCCCTTTCCCCTTTCCCAGGCAAAAGGAGGCAACACGCTCAGTGGGGAAGGTGTTGCCACGTGGGGACACTTACTATGGGTTGTTATCGTGATAGTTGTGGATGTTAACAGCCGCTGTGATGCCGCAGATGATGAGGGGGATCCCGCCTGCAATAAGGTAGAACCTGCAAGGAGAGGAGGTGGCGGTGTTACTGCTCACTGAGGGTGAGCGCTTGGGCTGGCCCGGCGCCACGGGGCTGTTTGCACGAGGCTGCTGGCAGCCTGCAGGGTCTTTGATTTTGTAGGCTGCTCGCACAGCTATGGAGTGATTTTGTAGCCTGCTCGCACAAATATAGATGTGCCATTTGGGAAAGGGGGAGGGTGTCTCCCCACGGTAAAATGCTGGAGCACATGCAGGGGTGATGAGAAACGGGACTGTACAGGCAAGCGGGGAGAGGGGCCAGGATGGTGCAGAGGATGCAGAGACAGAGCCTGTCCTGGGAGAAATGGGTAGGATGGGAAATGGGCCGGCATGATCGCTTTTTAAAAGACAGGAGCAAGTCCTGCCCCTGCCCTACTTCATCTGTGACCCGGAACAGCACTTGGCCTCTGGCAGGACCGAAATCTCTGTAGGGGCCCTCGGGGCAGAGCGAAGGTTTCGCTGCTCCCCTGAGGGTGTGCAGGGCTGAGGCAGAGCCTGCCGAGTGAAGGGACCCTCTGGGGTGCGTGCCGGGGGTGGGAGGAAGTGTCTCTACCGTAGCATGGGCCGAGGAGCCGGCTGGGACGCGTCCCCGTCCTGCTGCTGGGGCGCCTTCCAGGTCACTTCTTTGTAGAGGACCCTGGCCTTCACTGCCATCCAGAGCAGGGTGGACAGGGAGGAGTAGTGCAAAATGATGCCGACCTGTGGGGTAGAGGCAATAAGGTGAGTAAGTGGGAGGTCGCTGCTGTCGCCGCACACGGGTCCCCCCGGTCGCAGTTGGGGCTCAGGTCCTGCGGTCGCTGGCTGTGGAGCCTGGCAGGGTGAAACCTGGCTTTGCTGTTTGGCTTTGTGTTTGCAGCGCAAGCCTGCTGTCGCAAAGTAGGACACGGCAGTACCTACCGCTTGGCAGACGATCAGGTAGCTGGTGAGAGTGATGCCTCCTGCAAAGACGGCAGAGGTCATGGCGATGTGGAAGCAGAGGTTAAGCAGCATGTGCCAGCACTTCCGCGTGATGTGGATGGCCCTGCAAGAGAGGCACAAATCGCTGCGGTGAGATACCGTCCGGTCAGGGATGGAGTCCCGGGGGCTGCGTATGCGCTGCCTGGGAGAGTCCTTGCTCGAGGCTAAGCTCGCGGCCAGGCCAGGGCTCTCCCTGCCGTGCTGGGGACACACTCCAGCACAGGGAGTCGCGGGGGCCATGACCCCGGTGGCGGTGCAGGGCTGTCCACAAGCACGGGGAGGGGGCTGGTGACGGCCTTGCTGCTCCCAGCAAATCTGGACGTGCTGCTCTGGAGAGCGGCTTTGAGGGGCTGCCCTTGCCTTGGTGCGTGTTGGAGGTGGAGGCTGCTGGGAGCCTCTGAGCAGGAGTGAGGGATGGTTTTGGATGCTGCCCTGAGCCCAGTGCTGGGTAAATACGACCAGAGCGCTTGCCCTGGCCTCGAGGGGTTCGGTGTGGTTGGGCACTAAACCTGACAGCTCCTGAGGTTGCACCCAAACCGCGTGTGCCAGGAGATCCCCCCGGGATGTCCTCTAGCCCCGAGCTTGCTCCTGGGCTGAAGTGCAGAGAAGACTGTGAGGAAGCAAGAGGTGGGGAGGTGGCCTGGGAGGTGGGGGTCGGACCAGTGGTGCCTCCCGCTGTGGCCTCCTGTCCACGTGGGGATGTGTCATGGGGCACGATGTCTGCAGGCACAGGGTGTGATGGCAGCTCTGCCCTTTCCCTGCGACTGGCTGGTAACTTGGTAAGGTTGGTAACTCCTGGGCTCTGGCTGTGCGCAGGGGTTCACAGCCTGTCGTGTGAGGCGCTCCCGGGGCTGATTTGCCTGATTGCCCATCTGTCTTCTGTGGTGGCCTTGCCCATAGCCCTTCTTGCTTCCTCTTGTCCTGGGGTGGTGTCCTCGGCTTGGTTGTGTCTGGGTCTTCTCACAGCATGTTGGTGTCACGCTTGTGGATGTCAGCAGCTGTTGTCTGACTCTGTGCTGTCCCTATGGCCGTGCAGAGACTGGAGCTGCTTGCAGCAGGCAGGCGGCGCGCCGTGGGGCTCATTTGGGTGTCCGTTCCTGGTGTCTGCTGTCAGCAGCCGAGACTGGTGCTGCGCACCTGGCTGGTGGGTCCTAGGATCTGCATTGGTGTGGGTGGGCAGACTTTGGAGCAGGGGGGTTGTGGCGGTCCCCAGAGGCAATGCTTCCCCGAGCGACTGGAGCACACGTTGCGGGGGGGAGGCCTGATGCCTCCCTGCCCGTGTTAAGGGGATCCTGACGCACATAGGTGCTTGTATGGCTGCATTATTCTAGCTGATAATGCAGTTCTCCTTTGCAGCCCAGGCCAAATCTGTGCAAGGAGAGTGGCCTCATGGTCAGCCTGCTGTTGGATCGCCCCGAGGAGCTCAGGGTTATTTGTGGACCTGTCTCATGATGTCTGCGTGTGTCCCCTGCCCTGGGTTGCAGAAGTGAAGACGTCCCAGTGCCGAATCTCTGGGGATCCTGGTGCTGATGGTGCTCCTCCAGAGCCGGAGAGGCTCCTCTGGGCCATACAGCCCCTGAAGCTTGTTTCCTGCTCTGGCCCGGTGAGTGCTCAATGCTGGCATGGCGTTGCTGGTGCAGGGCCCCTGCTGCAGGTGGCTGCGTTTTTGCCCCGATAGCTGCCTGGGCTGCCCTGTGGTTGCAAGGCTGTAGCCCTGTACTGTGGTTTTGCCATTGCTGGTATCAGGTGCTGAGCTTTATGCGTTTGTGAGGGCTCATGATGGAGCCCTGTTGTTTCTGAGCTTTCTAGACCTGGCTGCTGCTTTCTTGTCATGCTGTGCAGCTGGAATAGCAGTTTCCTCTGGCACAGGTGGTTATGGCTAACGATGTGCGCTCCTCTTGCTTATGGTCATGTGGTACAGCTTATCTGGCCAGCAGTGACACGTAGGGCTTGTGGTCAGTGTGAGTCCTGATGACTGTACAGGGATGGTGCAGAATAGAGGAAGGGGCCTGGTGTGACAGCAGAGGCTGTGCGAGGTGGAGACCCAGGATGTGAGGATGGGGGTGATAAGAGCTGGGACACAGGCTTGGTTCTGGAGACCCCGTGGCTATAAAGGACTCCCCACTGGGCAGGTGAAGAGAAACAGCCCTGGAGCTGAGCAAAAGTGATGCTCGAGGCAGAGATGGAGATTGAGGAGCACTTTTCTAATAGGGAGGAAAATGTAGTAAGTAAGCAGAGTAAGAAATTAAGTAAGTGTGAATGTGATGTGGAAGTAAGCAAGTAAGTGTGGTGCAATCAAGGCGTACATGTGTCTTGGGCCACCAAGGAAAATAAGTCACTTTAATTAAGTAACTAGAAAGTGAAAACTAAATAGAATCTGGCTTGAGGAAGAAGGGACTGTGGACATAAAGGTGTTCTTGTAGGTGAGGGGGTGTCAATGGCTTGTCATCATCCTCCTCACCATGAGCAGGAGACCACCACCCCCAGAAAACTGACAGGAAGAAAGAAAGGTGTTCCTGGTGCTGTTGACAATGCTGTTTGTATGGTATTATTATTATTACTGTTCTTATTGTGATTGTTGAGACTTGGTCAGTATGCACGTAATCTTTCTGAGTGAGTTGGTAGTAAGTAGATCCAGACTAATAGTGACGCTTGACTTAGATTAGTAAAATGTCAGGGGCTGTGAGAGGAGTGTTTGAGGCCTGAAGTGTAGTTGTGAAGTAGGACATAGGCTAAATAGGGTGGGGTTGTGGGAACTTTAAGCAAGATATTCAGTGTGACACTGCAGCATTCCCTAGGCTGGGAGGTAGCGATGGTGTCTGTCCTGGCAGACCTTCTGGTGTCCCGTATCTAATCTGTTGGATATTTCCTTCTGTCTTAGCAGGTGGAGTGCGCTTGTGCTGTCTGGGAGTCCCCAGGGCTGTGTTTATCAGCAGGCAGTTGTGCCCCCTCCCCGCAATCCTTACTGGTGCTCACTGGCCAGCTGGCTGCCTCAACGTCAGTGGAGGTGTGGGGCTGGTCTTGGTGATTGGGGCTGGTTTGCCACTTGTGTGCTGAGGGGCAGGGCTGCAGCTCAGTCTTAGTGCTTGTGATTCTGGTGGTGGGTCTCTGGAGGGGCTGGGCAATGTGAGTCCTGCCCTGTGCTTATTGGGTGGGTACTTAGTGTTAGCTGGGGGGCAATGAGCGGGCTACTCTGAGCATTGCTGTGTGTTGCCTTGCAGGGCTGCTGGAGGAGCTGCAGAGAGCCCTGCTGCCTGGAGCTACCAGCCTGAGGGGCCCTGAGAGCTGCAGGAGAGGCCTTGGAGCTCCTCCCCACTCCCCAGATGGGCTGCTCCTGCACAGGAGAGGAACCTGAGGTTATGGAGCCTCCTTGGCTACTCCTCTTGGCTCCAAGGTGGCTAGGTGTTGCCTTGCAGGAGGAGCTGCAGAGTCCTGCAGCCTGGAGCTACCAACTGGGATAGGGCTCAGAGCTGCAGGAGAGGCCTTGGAGCTCCAGCGTCTGGGGGGGGGGTCCCTCCCAGACGGGCTACTCTTGCCCAGGAAAAGAGCTCGAGGCTGGGCTACCCAGGGCATGGAGCCTCCTTGGCTGCTTCTCTTGGCTCCAAGAGCCTGGAGCTCCAAGGAGGCTCCATGCCCTGGGTAGCCCAGCCTCGAGCTCTTTTCCTGGGCAAGAGTAGCCCGTCTGGGAGGGACCCCCCCCCCAGACGCTGGAGCTCCAGGGCCTCTCCTGCAGCTCTGAGCCCTATCCCAGTTGGTAGCTCCAGGCTGCAGGACTCTGCAGCTCCTCCTGCAAGGCAACACCTAGCCACCTTGGAGCCAAGAGGAGTAGCCAAGGAGGCTCCATAACCTCAGGTTCCTCTCCTGTGCAGGAGCAGCCCATCTGGGGAGTGGGGAGGAGCTCCAAGGCCTCTCCTGCAGCTCTCAGGGCCCCTCAGGCTGGTAGCTCCAGGCAGCAGGGCTCTCTGCAGCTCCTCCAGCAGCCCTGCAAGGCAACACACAGCAATGCTCAGAGTAGCCCGCTCATTGCCCCCCAGCTAACACTAAGTACCCAGTCCTCCAAGCCAGCCATGCACAGTGCTGCCCAGGGCTCCCCACCCAGCTCTCCCCTCTATGATGGACATGAGTGAGCACCCTACAGCCCTTGCAGCACTCTGCCCTGGCTCCACACTGCTGGCAGCACCCTGAGACACTGCTGTGCCATGGGGCCATGATGATAAGAGACCCCCCCCCCACCTCCCACCAAACCCTCC